GAACTTTTGTCAGCTGCTCATATAGGGGTGATATAGGGATAATGGAAAAAAGAACATGGAAACTACTATAGTATAGACCACTTGCGAGCAAACATTGCACACATATTACAGTGTGTTGTCAGGCACAGAATATCACCAGCCTTAGTCCCCGCGATTATTACCTGGACCCTCAAAGTAAGTGAAATAATGGCCCAAAACCCACTTTGAGACAATGAGCCAGAAAAGCTGTTATTCTGCATACTGTTGGGGTTTAGGCACCTTGTTATTGTTATTGTTCTTATTATGGTTCTTCGTGCCCGACCTTCTCCACATGCTCATGAGCGCAATGTCTTCCTTGCAGCTGCAGTCCCAAGTGGAAGCCAACGTTCAGAATTATGGTGGTTTTCCAAAACTACGGGTACCTTTTTTTGAAGGGTTCATATTGGGGCCGCCTGGTTATGTAGATGACAAACACTCATACCAAGTGTTGGGGTTCAGGGTTCGGTGTTGCTCAACTCCTTGCAGGGGTTGAATTAAATCTGTTGTTGCTGCTGCTGCCTAGGCCCCAAAAACCCTAAACCCTAAATGGTAGTTTCCCTTCCATTTTCCTGTTCCCAATATAACCCTAGCAAAGGTATGTTTTAATTTGGAAGCCATCAGATTATTTGTGCCATCATTGGCATGCTAAGGATGTGCTGCTTGAAACGTGGTTGAAGGTTTAGGAATTAGGGTTATAGTAGGGTTATATTGGGATAGTGGAAAAGAAAATGGAAACTACTATTTAGGGTTTAGGGTGTAGGGTTTGATCATTCGCATGGTGGCATCCAAAAACCCTAGTCTACAAGGTTCCTGAAACTAATTTTTAATTTCTGTTACCTAGAAACCTAATATTTCGCTGAAATTCTAATTTCTACTGGGGTTCCAAATCCCTTAGAGTAGTCCCTAAACCCTAAACCCCTAAACCCTAAACCCCTAAACCCTAAACCCTAAACCCCTAAACCCTAAACCCTAAACCATCAGGCAATGATCCTCATGGAAACCAGCGGGGAGGCAGAGTTCGGACTTCCCATCTTCCTCTCGGTCATGGCTGCTCTTTTGCAAGATGGGACTAGGTCATCTTGTCCAGGCCGCCCAAACCGCCATGGGTCTTAAGAGCCATAGTCTAAACTCCTAGTATCCACCTTAGTAACCCCTATACTTATCCCCTATATAATCCCCTACATCACCCACTTGAAGGAGTTTAGACGACAGCTGATATGAGGATGTGGTTCGGACATCTTCTCATTGCATGCTGGTGTGGATAAGGTTGCAAAGTGGGTCGGCGACCGCTTCAACAGGCGTCATGCCGCAATTCTTTTCCAGTGTCTCGCGTTGGTAGCTTCTCACTGGTGACACTGATGGTTCAAACAGGGGCATCTACGATCTTCACATCATTGAGCTCAAGCACATTCCATTTCTGGAGCAGTCGCCTGAGAAGAAGATGATCCTATTGCAGGCCACTCCAACTAACACTGCGCATGATGATCTGGCGTGTTGACTTCTCTCAACATGTTGCCAGCACAGAGTCAGTTGAGGCCTTCAATGTCATAGTCTGCTGCCATGTCTCATCTGCCAGGCCCGTGATGTCATGCAGCGGGATGTGGTTACGCTGAACCTCGTTGAGTCGGTCTCGAACTTGACTGAGGCGGCAACAAGTTGCACATCCGCTTGCATCCTTTCTTACACGACTCCATCAAGACTGTCGGTCACTGCTTGCCTGCTGCAAAGAACAGGTGCTGGCTGGCAGCAATCATCATGCCTTCCCAGCTGCTCGGCCGACGCCAGTTGCAGGGCTTGTCTCGGCAAAGTGCTTGTCGTCATTGACAGCTGGTACTGTACTGTCGAACTTTTAATTCAACTGAACATTTCATCTCCATGATGATCCACATTTCCGTCTCAGCATGTCTCAGCAGAGACTCTTCTACGAAGCATCTAGTTTCCAGCCCTAAGAGTCCAAGTACAAAATAATCATATACTCACCCAAAATCTGTACTATACAGCAATTGCTATTACCCTAAATCCAAGTACTTATAGTTCCCCTTAAGTAGATACAATATGGCTTTCCAGGTCTTGTACCCTGGCACGAGACGCGTGGCAGGAATGCTCTCGCAGAGCATTTTGCGCAGGTGCTGAGCAGACCTGCGTTGCACACTTTTGGTTGGGTTGAAAGGTTTAGGGCCTAGGGGTACAGTACAATGACAATGATAGTGACAACAGTCGTAGTCGTAGAATAACAATGATAATAATTGAGCGTAACAACCGTTGTAATCATAGCAAGAAGAAAAATAGTATCAACAGCAGTAATAATACCAATCATACTTTAACAACATTAGTAATATAATAGTAATAATAAAAGCATTGATAATAAGAACAACAACCATAGTAATAATAACAACATGAAAATAGTAACAGCAGCAGGAAAAGAACAATATTTAGAAACACCAGTAGTAATAATAACAGTAAGAAAAAAGTAGCGACCGTAAAAATACTACCATTAACTATAATAGTAATAATAATAATACTAGCGGGTTGGCCATTGCCTACCTGGAACTCCCTGGAAGCGGGTGCTGTACACTTCTTGAGACACACATATGCATGTGTACAGGAGCCGCATGTGTGCAGCGTTGACACGATGTCCAACAGTACTGTGATGAGCCGTCTCATCATGACTTTTGAGCCCGTCAGTGTATCATCTTCTCCTAAGTAGCTTCAGAATTTATTATCCCCAACTTGTTCAACCGAGGATGTAGCTAGAAAGTACATGAATCAGAACAATGAGACCGGCAACAAACCTAGACAGGAGATTAGGCCTTGGAACCTTAAACTCTAAACCGTACTTTCCATTTTCTTTTCCATTATCCCTATACTTCCCCAATATACCCCTCTATAGTCCCTGTAGTATCCCTATATAACCCCTTGGGTTCAGGATTCTGGAGGAAGGCGAGGAAGCCCAACTCTTCGTCGCCAACCAGGAGCCTACGCCCTCCAAGCGCATACCCTGGAAATCGACGCCTGGCAAGGATGATGGGCTAATGGAAAAGAAAATGGAAACTACTATAATGGGGTTATATAGGTCTGGGGTTTGAGGTTTAGGGTACAGGGTTGGGGTAGTATTGGGATAATGGAAAAGAAAATGGAAACTACTATAGTATAATAGGGTATATATTGGGGTTATTAATATGGATAATGGAAAACATGGAAACTACTCTAACAGATTGGTACCGGAGCCATAGTTTCACTCTTTTTGATTTATGTAGTTGGCGTTGCGCGCATCCTAGTGCGGCCATTGAAGGGATGCTGCTGCTACGTTAACTTCTACCACTGTCAACACTACCACGGGTACTATTGCGTCCTTTGATTTTTGTGGTGATTGATGTTGTGATGCACTTCTCGGAGGGTCCCCATCGCGGCTAGAATCTAGTGTTTTCAGTCTTCACGTGTTCGGGACCATTTTTGAGAGGTGTTTTAATTTTCAAGGTGCACGGAGCTCAGTCGTGCAAGCCCAGCACTTAATCAGGACGTTCTACGTGGTGCTCGAATACACTCATTTCTCAGTGGTAATGAGCAGTGTGATGTGGCTGATGGATAGTTGTGATTGAGCATGCCAGCACAGCAGCGCGAGCAGAGACAGCCGTTTTTTTTGGCTGTGCTCCCCTCTCGAGACCTTGGAACCCCTCATTTCACGGAGCCGTTCTACCCGCGACCTACCATTTTACATGTAAAATGGGGGTCCCAGGTTAAAGGGTGTGTGCGGTGGGGTACTCAACCACCACGCAATTGTAATACATTCTGAGTCTTTCGTTCATTAACCCCCGCCAGACCCCCCTCCAACTTAGACCGCTCCTTCCCCCCCCCATACCCAACCCCAAACAGTTATGGTTTCACCGAACTCACCCAACCACTGCCACCCCTAGATAGGGGCAGGGTATCCAATGGTAAGGAAGCTACTCATAAAGGATTACGATGGGTTATGGTGGGATTATTAAGGGGGATACAGTACATGACCTAAGTCCAAGGTCCTTCAGAGTAGACTCCTGATTCAAATGGCTGACGCAACCACAGTGTGAAGAGTCTGAAGGGTGCCGGGAGCCGTAACTGTAGCTACCTCTTGTAGGGCCACAGACAAACAGTGCAGCTACATTTGGGACATTGTATACAAACGCTGGCCAACCATGTTGAGTCCTGGAGTTGCGATTTGTTATGTGTTCCTTCGGCTTTGTATGGATCAGGATGCTGTCTTCGAAGCCCTTCAAGCGCCTTGCTTTCATGCATTCAGTCAGAAGCTGGGACACGGGAGTTGCAATGTTTTACATGTTCCGTTGGTCCAAGCTGCGCGCTGCTACGTTCACTTTGCGCAAGGTGCCAGACACCTGCTGAACTGCGGGAATATGTTGCTGATCACATGGACAAGTTGGTGGACCTTGGGCGACTGAGCTGCGGTGGTCTTTTGAAGAGTCGCACGTCTACCCGCTAGCGCCGCTTGAGCCAGGCCATACGTGAATCGCAACAACCTGTTCGTCCTTAAGTACCTTGGTTGCATGAAGCCGCACCACCTGCACTTCGAGTGATTCTGGCATGCGCCTCTCTCCCTGCAAGAGGTACACATCCGCGTGGAACTGCTATACACTTTTCCGCCAGCTTGGGATGCGACACCTGGCTGTCGCTTTGTTGAGAACTTGATGAGTGTGACGGCCGTGGGCACACACAGCCTTCTATGCTTCTATAGACACTCCATGAGACCAAGGTCCTCGGCCGAGACGGAAGCTTAGTTGGCATCATCACACGCAAGGAACATGCGGCTGGTACAGTTTATGGGCTCGTCTATGCTACTTTGTAGAGGATTCGCAGGTCTTACCCACGCTCAGGCCCTCAATCTTGTGCCAGCCAGATTTGCAGGACCTTATCTTGGCCGAAGATGAGGAGGTGCTGCTGCCGAAGAGTCCGCAGATTGATTTGCGCTTTTGCAAGATCATGCCGGCTGGCACATGAAGCCAATAATATCACGCTGCTTGAGCGCTTTGAATCCAGACAGCTTCTCTCACGCACATACTGGGGGCCCGTAAGCAGCTGCCTGTCTGCCAGGAAGAGGAATTTGACAGCGACGATGACGAAGAGCTCCAGGACTGCATGCATCATTCTACGGAGCATTGATTCTGGCTTTGGAATGTTGCAAGCGTTCCATGACACATGCATTCTAGATTCTAGCTGCTAGCTGTTTGTTTTTGCTCGTTCTCCATGCGCAGGCACATCATCAAACGGATGAAGAGGCCGCGCGCCATGTGTGAGAGAAGAAGACATGCAAACAGTAGCCCAATGCTTATCGTCCCCCTTAAGTAGATACAATATGGGGTATATGGGGATCTCATTATAATATACCCAGTGCCATATTATATCTACTTAAGGGTGACTATATGCACAAGAGCCTTGCAATCCTCCCCATCTCTCAGACTGTAGGCAGCATACTTGACTGGCGGAGCATGTGTGAACCGATTGTATTGTGTGCGTGTCTGCCCCAAGCACGTTCTGAACGAGCACGCGCAGCGATGGATGTTCCAGCGGTTTCTGCGTGAGCATGTGCAAGTGAGACGCTCCACGAGGATATCTGAGCAAGATCAGATATCCTCATGCAGCCTCTCAGTTGCACATGCTCACACAGAAAGCGCTGGAACAAGCAGGTGTTCTCCAAGGATCCCCGTCTCAAACTTAGAGGGTTTCCCCCTGCTGAGGCATGTGAGCCCCGTTGGCAGATCTTAGTCTAATAGATTCCTTGATCGGATCGAACTCTGCAAACTCATGATTGGACATTCCATTTACGTACGCGTCAACAAGAAGGAAAAGGTCAGTGTCGTGAGGGGCTCTCCATGAAGAATCAAGAAAACGGCCAGAACCGCTGAAGCCGAACAGTCAGTGCAGGGAATGAACAGCCTCGCAAAAGTACCTGTCAAAAAGAAAGCACTCTAAGTGCCTTCAAGCCTGTCCCTGTCAGGCCATGGTGCCCGATGTGTGCGCAAGTCCAGGTAGCGACCATGAGGATGATGGCGCCCCGGTACTGCAGAGCAGATGCAGTGTGGCATGGCAGTGTAGGGCTCTCTAGAGTGAAGGAGCCCCTCTAGCGAGGGTCTGTGGACTGTAGTCCATAAGCCTTGTTCGCCTTCTGGGAGAGTTGAGTTGACATCGCCTTCACCTGTTTCCTTGCAAAAGTGACAGCAATCCCAGGAGACATTGGGTGAGATTATCCCTCAAGCATCAGTAGGTGTTACATGGATCAGGCCACAAGCCTGTAAGCAAACCCTTTATCACTGATTCCAGCTTGCAGCATCGAAGGTGCACCCATTCGCCTCGACACCAGATCAACGAATCGGTCACACGATTCGAACACATCTGCAAAATCGTCCCATGAGCTCCTTGACTCAATGGCCATGATGTTGTTGAGCGTAGTATTGGGGATAATATTGGGATAATGGAAAATAAAATGGAAGCTACTATATAGTATATAGGGGTTATATTGGGATAATAGAAAATAACATGGAAACTACTATAGTATGTGTCTGCACGCAGCAGGATAATGCTGCGTGTAAGTGCGAGTGTCAAGTGCATGGCAGACGACACCGACATTCAGTCATACCCTCCACGTCATTCAGCTACGTCCAGTGCTTTTGTTCCGCTTCCCCTCCCTTCCCCACAGTCTTGAAAGAAGTGCACTTCCATGGCCGGACCTCCCCAAATAGTATGTATGATCCTTATTGTAGGGACTTCCCGAGGAGGGACCTATGGTTCCGAGCAACCTTAAGCCCAACGCCATAGCCCAAGTGCACCTAAACCAATTGAATCTACCTAGACCCTCCAACTACCCTCTATTCAGGCCTAGGTATCCGCTATTAGGGATTTTTGAACCCAAGTAAGCTATAGTCTAATCTCTTAGTATCCGCCTTAATAACCCTATAGTAGTCCTCTATATAATCTTTAAGGAGTGATAATAAGGGCTCAAGTAAGCGTACTGGGAGGGTCCTGGTATTACTATTACTATTGCTATTAGCATTACTCTTACTATTACGGTTGCTATTGCTAAGCCCTAAACCCTAAACCCGGGAGGGTCTTGGTAAACGGGTGTGCAAGGCTCAGCTGTCGACAGCTAGAGCCGGCGATGGGTGGCATGGGCGGAGCTGGAGGAATGTGAGACGAGTATATGGGCTGTAGTTCAAACTCCTTAAAGGGGGATACTTACGCGGTTATATAGGGGATTTTACAGGCTTGAGGGTTTAGGTCCAACCTCCTTAAAGGGGCACATATATAGAGCATTTTTTAGCGTTCCTAGTATAGAGGTTATTAAGGGGTATACTAGGGGTTTAGACCATGGCTTGTGTGCGGTTTCTGAAAGTCAGGGGTATCTTCAAAGGGTTTTTAGAGGTTATATAGGAGGACATAGGCTGCTGCGCTTAGGGTTTCCCAAACTTGGGGGTACCTTTTCGGGGTCCCGACTATAAGGATCATCGCATTTTTGGGTCTATACTGGGGTCCCGCTATGTTGGGAAACTACGATGTGAGGGACGAGACCCTATGGGGGTTTCTCAAAACATGGTAAACCCTGAAACCTAAATAAAACCCTCAAACCCTAAACCCTCAACCCTCAAAGCCTTAAACCCTAAACCCTTAAACCCTATGGACCCCAAAACCCTGAAATCTTAAACCCTAAAACCCTAGGGACCCAAGGATGATACAGAGATCAATTGTAAAGTGAGCACAAGGATACTTTTGAGGGGTTTTACTGTGATGATTTTTGAGAAAGTCCCCTATCAGCCTGCTTGCAGAGATCCAACGAACAAGCATAAAATGTTCAGAGACAAACTCGAAGAGTTTTTCGTTGTTTGCCCAGTCTTAAATCTGCACGCAAGCTGTTGGGGCACTATAGCTGCTGTGCGTGGCAAGGATTTCCCAAATTGCCATGGCAATAAATCTTCAAGCCTGGGGCATTTGAAGCCATTTGAAGCTCGTGTTTCACAAGACCTATCGGTTTGAATTTGCATGCCTGAGATGCCGGTCAGTCGGCGGAAAAAGATGACGGACACCAGCCGGCTTGCAGGCACACCCTTCCCATCCATACTGGGTATGGTCAGGGCCGATCCCTGCAAGCCTCGTTTAGCCCCAAGTTCGCTATCAAGTGCCATGTCTCCATTTCAGTCCAAGAAGATCCAACTACAGTTGATAGGCCGTACGGGAGCGTCTGGGCGCTTAACAAAACATCCGAAACAACTCTTACTGCTATAAGACAAAAGCTAGATACGACTGCAGAATGCGTATAACTCTATGATGCCATGTAATGCTGCATAATACTATAAAGTGCTACTAGTAGTAGTAAATCGCAGTACATGGTACTATGCAGCGTTATACAATATTTCTTTGTAGTGCTTCGTATTGCATAGGTTCATGTTTTCTAGATACTACTACATCGTATCATGCCGTATCATATAGCATCTAGTACCATACATATTCTATCATACTGCACAAGACTACCCTTAACTCCATTATCTAGCAAAATATGCGCCAGTGTCTAAACTCCTAGTATCCCCCTTATAACCCCTATACGTAGTCCCCTATCTAACCTCCTTGGAGTTGAGACCCTCAACCCTAAACCCTGTATAATCCCCTATGTAAGGAGTTTAGACTACAGCTCATATACCCTTAAACCCTAAACCCTATGCTTTGAGCAGTTTGGCGGCGCCACGCGGGCTGTTGGACATGGATCCTGCAAGCCAATGCCTTGGCGACTGAGCAGGAGTCCTGCGTAGGGTTTAGGGATTTAGGGTTTAGGGTTTAGGGAGATGGTAGGGGGCATAAGGGGGATATGTAGGGCTATATGGGGATGTATACATTCCCCTACATGACTCCTGTATACCCCTCTATATGACAGTATATATATATGTGTGTATATGTATGGATATAGAGGGGTATATAGGAGTCATGTAGGGGTACTTAGTGATGAATATGCAGCTCAAGAGGGATATGTAGGTTGCATAAGTATGAATATCAATGTGTATATATATATACACATACCACTGTGAGTCAAAAACCCTGGGTTGGTAATGAGCTTAGGCGACCATTAAGCAACATAGGCTTGTAGCAAAAAATCCTGGCTTGCGACAAGCACCTTTGCCCTAAACCCTGAACCCTAAATAGTAGCTTCCATTTTCTTTTCCTTTATCCGTATATAACCCTTATAACCCTATATAATCCTACAAAACCCAAATACCCCTATATAGCCCCTATATACTCCTATATAACCCTACAAACATATTTGTGTGTATATATGTATATACCTATGTATATATGTCTGTGTATGTAGAGGGATATATATAGTTTCCTAGCAAGGAAAGCAGCCATTGAGGCTTGCAACTTGCAAATCCGGACTTGTTAACTTCGAATTGAGGATTCGTCAGAGCTCCACCTGAAGCAATTTGGGTATATCATGGTTTATTCTGGTATACTATAATCTGTTTTAGTATATTCTGGTATATTCCCGTCTGTTTTAGCATATTATGGTATATCATAGTTACTTAGTTTGTTTTAGTATATTATGGTGTATTATAGTATGTGGTAGTATATTATGGTACATTTTAGTATATTATGGTATATTATAGCATATTCTGAAATATGTTATGAACCTGCGCAACTAAGCTGCCTAAGCTGTAGCGTGTCATAGGTAGCAGGAGTGGACATGCCCTTTTGAGTTGAGTTCGCCACGTGTAGACGAGGCCTGCACGGGAATATGGTGACCTACTTCTGCCAATCTTCGTGGAGCATGACCGCCACAAGCCCAGTTTCTGGCTGGCGGGGAACGGCCGCTTCGTATCATGTGCGGCAGGCAACCTTAGGTAATCCATGGACTCCCTTAATCCCTACGAACCTCCAGTAAGTGTATTTCTCCAAAAAAAAGAATGCCCCAGGGACCTGAGGGATACTGTCAAAAGACGGATGCAGCCAGAGCAACCTTC